CATTGGGTCAGGTGCCTGGTGGGTCAGGAAGAGGTTCCCCATTCCTTGCACTATAGTGGGGGGGGGTAAGGGAGAAGCGTGATAGACCAGACTTCTCATCAGGTGGTGGGTCCATGGACACCACATTCCTCCAAGATTTGCTGTGCTTCCTTTCTTGGAGAAATTCATTCCCAAGGGATGCCTCCTTCCAAGATGCCCAACAGCTTGGATGCCTATAAAGGAGGATCAGGCCAATTCATGGAGGATAAGGCTATCAGTGGCTGGGTTCTGCCACCACTATTGGAGGCAGTATGGCTCTGAATACCAGTCACTGGGAATCACATGCAGGGAGAACACTGATGCCACTCGTGATCTGCCAGTTGGCCATTATGAGAATAGGATGCTGGACTCAGTGGGCTATTGGCCTGACCCAGCAGGGCTCTTCTTGCATTTCTTAAGGAGTCTGCATTGGTCTGTCTTGCTCAGTAATGTCCTCACTGACTGACAATGGTGCAACCTGTATTTGCCAATATGTGGTTGAATCCCACCTAAGAATAATGACAGCCTGGCAGCATCAGTGGGGTTGTGGTCCAGGGTTTCTGCAGCAGGGTCCCTGAATCCAGCATCCAGTCAGCATGAAACGGGAACCTTTTGAGCCAAAGCTAAGTATTTAGGAACACTGAGAACAGAAGGTGCTTCCATTTCAAAAGAATGGTGTGCAGCTTCTGTTCCAAACAAGGGAACTTCGTGGAAAACGTGTAACTCCAGGAGAAGATGTTGGATTGCTCCAAGTCATTTGCCCATGTATGTGTACAGAAAATAGTAGCTGAACGGCAACACATGGAGGTTCTGCACTGATTGTTGCAAAGCACCCCTAATTATTAATATTATATAATGATAATATTGTTGTAGAATCTTGGAAAGCTGCATAATCTTGGAAGGGTGTGAGGGGACTTGACGGTGACTGTCACGAAGGTATCCTGTGCTTCTGAATTGGCCACTGCACTCCTGGGAACCACGCTTAAATTGGAAACAAAAACAAAGCAGGAGCAGCTTTTGCTGTTGCTGCTGGCACCCAATTGTCTCAGGAAACAATGAAGTGCAAGAAAGCAAAAGTAGCAGAGTCAGCAAAGAACGATGGCCCCAAAGGCTAAATACAAAGGTTCTTCCCCTGGGATAAAAGAGCGACATACAAACCAGCTGAGATAGCAAGCAGGGGATCACCAGAAGGATCTTAATAATTGGGCAGGGTATGCCTAGAAGAGGCCCTTTCTCTGGTATACCTGGGCTCCCAATAATTTAGGGCTTTCTATACCACCACCGACCCCTCAAGTCAAGCTCTCATGGGCTCACAGCATTTGAGATTCCTTCCAAAAAGAAAATTGCCCAAACAAAACTGTGTTTGTCTTGGAAGTTTTTGGTATGCGCCTGAAGTTCTTTTGAAAGGATCTTGCTGCCATCTAGGCAGCTGAATAAACTTTGCTTTTGTTTTAAGCAAGAGGGTGGGAGTGGGGAGGAGGAAGGAGGAAACTGTAGGAGCATGGCCTCCTTTTCAATCCACCGGGCTTAGGCTACGGATGCCGCGTCAACATCTGGGATGGATCAGAAAGCCATGAGTCTGCAGAAAAAATGCCTCCTGGTGCAGACCCAGGAGAAGCCTCATGTGGAAAAAGAATCTGGAGGGATGGAACAAAAGGGAAACCTTTGGTATGATCAGTTGAAGTGATATTTGATCAGGGAACAAAAGCAGAGTCACCCCACACCCCTGGCTTGAGGCAGGATTGGCCAATAAAAGAAGCCCCTGTTCTGTCACACTTCTTGCACAGAGTCCCATCAGCTATGATTCCCAAGAGCAGACTGCCTTCTTAGAAAATAAGGCATGGTGGATCTGTGCATGAGCACAGCATTCAGCAGGTGAAACTATCAGATGGATGCTTGGCCAAGTGCTCAGAGCATTGCTTTGTGTTTTTGCAAAGAGATTTCAATCTATGCTGTACATGGAACCCCGAGAACTGGGATTTGGAGAAAGGACTATAGCACTTGCTTTGCATGCAGAAGGTCCCAGGTTTAATCATCAGTGGCATCTCCAGGTAGGGTCAGGAGAGACTCCCGTCTGAAACCTGGGAGAGCCACTGCCAGTCAGTGTAGACAATACTGAGCTAGGTGGACCAGTCACCTAACTTGGTATAAGGCAGCTCCTTGTGTCCCTGTGTCTGTATTTTATTGGGGAGGGAATGTAGATGTTTTGCCTGCTCTTTGAGGAGAGGGTTTCTCTGCATTGTCAGTTTGTCTTCTGTGAAATGGGTACATTGACAGATTCTGAAATGTGCCCCCAATCTCCCTCCAGAAAGGTTGGGGACCCCTGTCTTCATATTACAGATCTGTTTAAAAACTTGATAGGTATTTGAACTGTGCAGCTCAATAAACAGATAATGGTTAATTCTCAACCGGGAGATGGGATTAATCCTTCCAGCAGCCACAGCAGCCCATGCTGAACTCACATTCTCAACACAGAGATTTGTCCCATCTTGAACAAATAGCCCATAGGATCTAATAATCCCTTTTAAAATTATAGCCCACTTAGCTTATAGGCCATAGAAGCCTATTCATTCTACCCCAGCCCAAATAGTCAACCCTTCTGATTCTTAAGAGTACATAGCAACCCACTGAAGAGCTGACTAGTTAAGGATATTGTTTTTTTCCTTTTTGCATTTAGCAATTCTTACACCATTAACCAAAATGAACAACATGTTCTCTAGTTGTTCTTCAGCATCAGCTATGTTCCCACAAAAATATATTTTAACCAACGATAGCTGCAATCCTGTACATGTTGTTCCAGGAGTAAGCAAGCCCCACCAAACAGAGTAGGATTTCGGCTTGCGTAAACATGCATAGCCCTGGATTAGTACAGAGCAGTCCTATGCATGTCTACTCAGAAGTACCGTTTAATGGAACTTACTCTCAGGTAAGTATTTACAGGATAGCACCCTAAGTCGTGTGAATCTGCTGAAGACTGCCATCCGCCATGGGTTCCTAATAGAAAGAGCATGATGGAAAATGAGGAGTTTCAGAAGGGCTGAATAGATGGGAGCAAGCCTTTTAGGATGTGCCAGCTTTAGAATGAATGATGTTGCTTTAATATAACTTGTAAGCAGCTTGCTATTTCACACAAGTAGCAGCTTGTTTAAGGTGCAGACCCTGTTGGACTTTACCCTTCATCAGCCCCAGCCCAGAAGATTCATAGCTCAGTGGAAAAGCCTCTGCCTTGCATGCAGAAGGTCTCAGGTTCCATCCCCCAATGGCATCTCCAGGTAGGGCTGGGAGAGTCCACCTGCCTGAAACCCTGGAGAGCTGCTGCCAGTCCATGTAGACACTATTGAGTTAGATGGACCAACGATCTGACTCAGTGCAAGACTATGTTGTATGATCCTATCATAAAGGGAGCTGGAATCCAACAACATCTGTGCAGCCACAGGTTCCCCCCATTCCTGATTTAAAAACAACTCATCCAACATCTAGACAGGTAAATACATTATTGCTGAGAACCAGTGTGGTGTATTAGGACCCGGGAGATCTAAGTTCAAATTCTCAGTCATCTAGGAATATTGGTCCAGTCACTGTTTCTCTGCCTAACCTACCTCAGAGGGGTGTTGTGAGGAAGAAATGGGAGAGGGGAAGAACTATGTCCACTATCTTAACTCCTGGGAGGAAAGATGGGGTTTAAATGTCAGAATAAATAAATAAAACTATCCAATATTTTCTGACAATTATTCACATTACTACATCTTGGGTCTATTGGCACTCAAGTCAGCAGTTTTTAATGAGCTAATGTGGGAGGAAGAGAAAGTAGGTTGTATGCCATGCTGGCCCTACTCAGAGTAGACCCATTGAAGTTAATGGGCATGACTAATTTTAGGTGCATTGATTGCAGCAAGTCTACAATCAAGCACAATGTAAATTCTTTAGTCATCTTCACTGAAGCATTTACTAGCAGGCAACGCATGGAACAAAGGTTATCCATGCATAAGATGAGGAGAGGTGAAGATTGCACCAGATGCTCTGCTGTGTTCCATAAAACATTGAGCAAAAATGATCTGGTTCAGGAGACAGACATACCAAGGACTCAGCCCGTGTGAGGGAGCAAGTATATAGCCTAGCAGACACAATGTTGGCTTTTGGACTGGGTTAAAGTTGTAAGTGGACAAATATGAGCCTGTCAGTCACACTCTTTCAGTTTGCATAGAGCTGGCATGGATGGATGTGAGTTTCATTTAATAAATAAACTCAGACACCTTTTCATTAAAAATTAAAAATACACACAGCTATAAAACAAAGTGGATATACAACTTAATATCAGCTCCATCTAATAATAATAATTGCTCTCGTTTGCCACTTTCTTTTTTTTAAATAATTCTCAAAGGGATGTATCTAGAGCCAGTATGGTGCAGTGGTTAGAGCATTTGACTTAGACCTGGGAGACCAGGGTTCAAATCTCCACTTAGTCATGAAGCTGAACCTCACAGGGTTGTTGTGATAATTAACTGAGGAGGGGAAGAACCATGTATACCACCTTGAGCTCCTTGGAAGGAAAGGTGGGACATAAATGCAATTTTTAAATAACCAAGTCCTCTTTGGAGTAGACCCATTGAAATTAATGGACCCAAGTTATTGGCGTCCATTCATTTCAATGGGCCTAGCTCTAACTTAAGTTGGATGCAATCCAAAGAGCAGGCTGAAAATGCAAGCAAATAAAAGCATGACACAAAAAAAGAAGACACAAAAATAAAAGCACAGAGCCAAAATGGACAAAACTACCCCATCCCTCTGAGGAAGCAGATGAGGGGAAGGAGTCCGGATTCACTGGCTATAAATCTCCAGAGCCCCTGAGACTGATCTCTAAGGATCAGGCTTAGAATTCTCACTTAAAATGCTACGCCCTCTGGATTCCCTAGGGGCAAGAACACCGATTGTAAAAAAATTAAAATGCTTTTTTTTTTTTAAGGAAGAAAATCGGCACTCACCTTTGCAAAATATGAAGGAGGAGGGGCGAAAGAGACCCTCTTTGTTATATTTACTCCTCTGGAACCTGCGGGTGGCGAAGTCTCTTATTTCAAGTATTAGGAGAGGCGGGCAGACGAGAAGCGAGAAGAAGAGTGTGTACTCCGTCTCTCTCCCAGGACCTCAGAGCAACTGTGGCAGAGCAGTGTCTGGTCTCTTGCTTTATACCATCCTGTCTTTCCTCCTCCTCCTCCTCCTCCTCCCCCCTCACTGCCCACCCCTTATGACAAGATACGAGTGAATCATTTCTCTTTCCCTGGAAGATGCGCTTCCTTAGCAGCATCTGAGCCTCTGCAGGAGAGAAGGGGCTTTGCACTGAAGGCGAAGTTCAATAGATTTGACTGAAACTCCCTTCACCAAAAAACAAAAAGCCGCCTCTCCTCTCTTCCCATCCCCGCAGTCTTCCCTTGAACAGAACCTAACGTGTGAAGTTAAAAGGAGACGGTTAGGGCAGCTGAATAATTGCTGCCAGATTTTTTTCACTGCAATCCCTTCCCCAAAAGTGTTGCTCTTGCCCCAACAAACAGCGCCAGGCAGAAGCGTAGACAGGAGCAATCCATTTTGGTAACCAGAGTGAAATGGGCAAGCTGGCTAGACGTCTCCTCCTGCCTGAGAAAGTGGATTGGCGAGATAAGGGGGCGAGGGAGGGACCTTAGACCGGGAGCGAGCGAGCGAGCGAGCTTCGGGCTTGTGGTGTTTACTTTGCGCGTGTTTTACTAGAATCCCCAGATCCATCCATCACGCGGACCCAGGCGCAAAAGCGCGCGGAGTCCAGGAACTTGTTTTAAGCAGCAAAACTGGATGTGGAAACCCACAGTTCTGAGCTCTCCAGCATTTTTATTTTTATTTTAATCTACTTATGGCTAGTCCGAACTATCTTCATTCCAGCAGGGCCATTTTAGGGCGGGAAGAAATTGGGGGGAAAGCATCCTGAAATCTGCCGGTAGACCCCCGATCTGCCTGCCCCTGCCTTCACTTTCAGAGGAAGGCACGGACTGACCTCTTTGGCCAGAGTGGCTGCAGAATTGGCCGCGCGCCTCCTCCCTACAAATGCTCATGGCGTTTCTGCAGGCGCTGCTTCCCTCCGGCTCTTAGATGCTGCTATGGCTGCCCTCGGCTCCGAAACGCGGCTTCCCCACTGCCCAGGCGGGCTGACTGGAGGCACTGCCGAGAGTCTCCTTTCCGAAGCTGCGAGAGGTTGACGGGGTGAAGGAACATAGGAACATGAGACGCTGCCTTATACCGAACCAGACTATTGCTCCAGCTAGCTCAGATGTTAAGTGCACTGGCTGGCAGCAGCTCTTTCAGAGGAGACTTTCCCAGCTCTCCCTGCATGGAGATGCTATGGGGGATTGAACCAGGGACCTTCTGCATGCGACAGAGATGCTCTGTCACTGAGCTGTGGCCATTCCCATAGCTCTTGCCTTTGCAACCTCACTGGTGTAGTTAGCTGAGATGTAATGAGCTATTCCATCTGCAGTCAAGGTCACTTCCAGACAATCTGTATATTGAGCATTTGCTCCCATTGGCTTAGGACATTTCCAGTCTGTCACTGTTTTTTTAGATGTGATGCAATCACATGCCAGCAAGTTCTGTTTATGCAATTACAGTTGATTGGTGTGTATCTGAAGAAGTGTGCATGCACACGAAAGCTCATACCAAGAACTAACTTAGTTGGTCTTTAAGGTGCTACTGGAAGGAATTTTTTTTGAGTTGATTGGGAGGTCTTGCACAGTAAACTGCAGGAAGTGAAGTGATGGGGAAATGTATTGCAATGCATGAATACAAAAACACAAGAAGAGCCTGCTGGATCGGGCCACCTCTGGGAAGCCCACATCAGGATTTGGCCACAACAGCGCTCTGCCCACCTGTGATTCCCAGCAGCTGGTATTCAGAAGGGTACTGTCCCTGACAATGGAAACAGAACATAGCCATCATGATGGTGCTGTGGTCTAAACCACTGAGCCTCTTGGGCTTGCCGATCAGAAGGTCGCTGGTTCGAATCCCCAGGTGAGCTCCCGTTGCTCGGTCCCAGCTCCTGCCCACCTAGCAGTTCAAAAGCACGCCAAAAGTGCAAGTAGATAAATAGGTATCGCTCTGGTGAGAAGGTAAATGGTGTTTCCGTGCACTGCTCTGGTTTCAGTGTTCCATTGCAACAGAAGCGGCTTAGTCATGCTGGTCACATGACCCAGAAAAACTGTCTGCGGACAAACACTGGTTCCCTTGGCCTGTAAAGCAAGATGAGCATCGGAACCCCAGAGTCATCTGTGACTGGACTTAACTGTCAGAGGTCTTTTACCTTTATCTTTTATTGCTTTGATGTACTGTTGTCTAACTTTCTCACAAAGAAATCAGAGTAACTGCTCATTAAATAACCAAAATGCAATACAGAATTTCACAAAGCACTGTGGAATGCCTTCCCTATTGCCCATTGTGAAACACCATCCATCTGTTGTTTCAGGTGTCTTATAAAGACATTTATTTTTCCACAGGATTTCCCTGTTGTGGATGAGATCGGATGCTGTTATTACTGAAATTCTGTTTCCACCTGTTTTTAAAATACTATTTAAAATGTTTTAAATCTCTCCTTTTACAATACGTGATTGCTTTTTAGATGTATGTTCTCTTCTTCTCAGAGACTTTAAAATAGCAAGCAGTTTAGAAACGCGAAGGAAGGGAGGGAGGTTAATTCCATACTCTTGTGCAACAAACATACTCCCACCCATTTTTTGTGTGATCAGGAAGGTGTGGAATAATAATTGCTTGACACAGCTTATCAGCTTCCTACAAACAAATCAGAATATGAATGCTCATTAAATAGCAAGTGTAGCCTAAACTTCCTGCAAACTTTGTGCAAACAGATCAGGATGTCTGCTCTATAAATAATCAATGTGGAAGTGATTTGAGTCCTGATTAGGTTGTTGTTGTTGTTTTTCATCAGCCTCTGAATCTCTTGTCCATTTCTTTCAGAGTACCTGGGCACGCTGCAGAATGCAGTGCCAGTGAGACAGCAACCCACATTCTTTTCTCCCTCCCAGATTGACTCATTTGAGATAAACAGGGCAAGCCACTGCGTAAGTTGCCACAAACCTTCCAGAAACATGTAAGTGTCATAAGCCATGATGCAAAAAGTAATCAGAAAAAACCTGAGCCCAAGAAGTTGGCATGTTCATAGACCATGTTTCCAAAGAGGCAGCTTCCTGTACCCTGAAGAACATTAGGGGGAGCTCTGATGCTATACTCAAGAGCTGTCCCACTTGAGGAAAAAATGATATTTATAATAACAGTGATTATTTTTTAGCTCCCTGAAAAAGTCTGCTTAATGTAATGGAAAGGTTCTGTTGGTGTGATCCTTTATCAAAAAGGATCGATTGTTTCACCGTCATTCATATTCCAAGACAGTATGTCTAGAAAAAGAAGTGTGCATGCACACGAAAGCTCATACCAAGAACTAACTTAGTTGGTCTTTAAGGTGCTACTGGAAGGAATTTTTTTTGTTTTGACTATGGCAGACCAACACGGCTACCTATCTGTAACTAGAAAAAGATTGTGAGACTACACATTGAAATATTTTATTGATTGATTGATTGATTGATTGATTGATTGCTAGCAGCTTGGCTAGTCCAAAGTACTTTTATTAGGACCAGGTTTGATTAGGCAGGTTAAGATGACAACTTATGCAGAGCCGGCCAGATTAACAGAAAGAATACAATACCAGGATGAACAGAAGTTTCAAGAAAACTGGAGTAAATATTTGATGTATATAAAAGACAATTGTAAAGCATTAAAGACACTGGCTGGGTTGGAATAACTCTCACAATGGGTGGAAAAATAAGCTAATTAAACAAAATACATAAGGTTAGAAAATATATGATACTTACCGAAGGGGTGGAGGGAAGTCCGAAGCTCGGCAGAGCTAAAGATAATTATGTGGTGCATATATGCTATAAACGTGTTGTAAATGTATGTTTACTGAAAACAATAAAAATTTATTGGGGGGGGAACCAAAGTACTTTTATTAGGACCAAACAAAAGGTCAAGAAATAGTGAGCAAGCTTTCATGATTTCCAGGACAAATGACAAAGCATTCTAGAGAACAGGATGCTGGACTAAATGAGCCATTGGTTTGATGCATCAGACTCTGTGTTCTTATGAAGAACTCACAAGGTGGCTCAATATTTTGGAGACATGTAGGAACAACTCATAATAAAGCTCTTTCCCAGTGGTGGATTTTGGGCCTTCAAAAAGTGTACTAGACTGGTCAAGAATGGAAGAAGACCCCTGTTGGATCAGAGAGAATGGTTCATCTATCTCAGTCTTTGGCCCTCCTTGCTGGGGCTGATAGACGCAGCAATATCTGGAAGGCCCATCCAGTCTGGCAACCTGCTTCCTACAGTGGTTAACCATTACCTCCACAATGAGCATATGAAAGCCACCACTCCTTTGTGCTGTTGTTCTCCAACAACTGGTATTCAGTAATACATTGCCTCTGGCCGTGGAAGTTCCATTAGGGCTCGTCATGACTAATGGTCATCTGCAGACGTCTTCTCCATGAATTTGTCTGTGATACCCCTTTGATACCATTCTAAACTACAGGCTATCGCAACTCTTGGCAGCAAATTCTTTAAATCAACTGTATGTTCTATGATGTAGAGAAGAGATGGGTAGAAGGGGAACTACTATCTCTGAATGATTTGCAGTAGATTAGCAGAGGTGTCAGACTCCCAGTTGTCTACCAAAGGCAACAGCTGATCTTCCAATGTCATATATGTCACAGAGGTGTCACAAAAGTCTCAGCATTTCCTGTCGCAGGTTCCATACTGTGGAACAGACTTCCAGCAGAGATTCAGGAGGCACCCTTGCTTTTGACTTTTAGGTGTCTTTGGAATACATTTTTACACTGACAAGTCTTTGTAGCAGCTTAATTGTTAATTTTTTAGCAGTCACTCTAATGCTTCTCAGTATCATTTTTAACAGTGTTTTATATTTTAGGGTTGTACACCGCTCTGATATTTTATGATATGGTGGCACAGAAGCACTTTAATAAACAAGCAAATCAGTGCCCTTTTGTATTCTAAGTTGGACAAACAGGACATTTGCTACAGGAAAAAATAATCAATAGGCACAAATCTGCCATCAGAAATGGCAATATCCAAAAACCTATGGGAGATCATTGCATCCTCCCAGGAC